GAGCACTGCCATTCCCTAGGACAAATCTCTGCTTCTCCAGAAGCGATGTCTTGTGTGTCTAGGACACTTGGGTGCCGCAGAGATGCAGAGGGAGCTTGGGCAGAGAAAGATGTGTTTGTAAGGCGTGCTACGTGGTGAGCGGACAGTGGCTGCTTGTTCGCTGTGGAGAGGCAAGATGGTGCGGCGGGGGGTCTGCGGGGAGGTCTGCCATTTCTGGCTCTTCTCCGCACCCTGGGGCCAAATTGTCTCTTGGACAGTCGCATTCATCAGGGGCCTTCTCGGGCATTATCTGTGATCCCTCAAGATAGGTTTGCACTGGGTAATCGCCCAGCGGTGACTGATGGCAGGAGGGATCTGCAACCTCCGGTTTATCATCTTTTAAGAGAACTGCACCCCGAGGCAATCTCTTCCACGCTGGCTCCTGTGTCTCTCAGGAACAGCCCCTGCCTTCCGCTCCTCAAACCGCAGCAGATAACCCCGCCTCGGGGCTGCTGGGGACTGACTTGTCATCGCCGCCATGGCTCAATGTCAACAACGACACGAGAGAAGAGGCGTGTTTATTTATACCTGGAGAGTCTGTCACATGGCCTTGCTGTGCTGGCCATGATATACAATAGGGTTTTCACTATTTCCCTACCGCAAGTGGCCCTCTCGGGCATTGTCGTGGAAAATAGAAGCACTGTACAATTTGTCCCACCGGAATTCCCGACACATTACTGGGGGTGGAAAAAACGGGCAAGCTTAATTCAAATGATAAAAGGTCAAAAGATAGTTTTACTTGGTTCAAAGTCCTACCGAATCGTCAGTAATGTTCCTACTGTACAACATTTTTACTCTAAATATATTGTTAAACATGTTAACATGCAATTATATAGGATTAAGCACGTGGAACATTTAAACTGGCATTAAAATGCTGCGTTAGTCATTGTTTGAGCAAAGGGAATCGCCCGAACTCACGAGATGGTTGCTGAATTTCCTTGCGTTGTAAGAAATGGCATGGGCGTTACCTCCCGAATACCCACGCAGGAAAGGTTAGGTGGTGCGTATATTTCCGAGGACACAGTCAACCTAATGTAAACATTCATTTTATTTGTCCCTTCTGTTTCTACCCTGGCCCAAACCCATCCTTATTTTCCTCGCGACCAGCTCTCCAAAATATTTTTCTAAGCCTGGCTACGCCTCAACTATTGGAGGGTCCCCAATGTCCTCGGAGGGCTGAGCCCGCCTTGTCAAAGTGAGGAAAATGAATGATGGTATATTTTTCAGAATGGAATAGCTGGTCCTTGGCAGGCTCGGGGGGTGACGGGGTCCCTCCGGACAAGTGGACTTCTGCTACAGCGACAACAGCGGACAAAAGTCTACTCCCTGCTCCTCCTGTGTGTTTGTCGCGAGTCCCGTGGGGTTCTGTCCGGTGCCTGGACTCTGAGTCCAGCCTGGGCAGGGGGCTGCCTCGACGCGGGATGTTGAGAAAGGGCGGGGGGCTTTTATGCTGCCAATGGGGGCCCTAGCTGTACGGTACTGATGACACGGGACGTTTCTCATGCTGGCTTGTGAGACGCCAGAACCACCACCCGGCTCTGGGCCTGGACAGAGGGACAAGCCGGAAACCTTTCGCAAATACCCTGGCGACGGTCGCATTGCAGTAAACAACCAGATGAATGAACAGCAAACCGAGTGCCTTAGAGTGGAACGCAACGAGTCAGCGGCGAGCTTAGACCCTTTTAATGATCCGTAGGCTCAGATGACTTCTTTCCTTCTGGACGTGGCTGTTCAGTCCTGTTTTCTGTGTCTGTTTCCTCTTCTGTATCAAGACAGGCAAACACACATAGGACAGGTCCACAGACAGAGCCACAGAAGCATCCGGAGTCCGGCCTGGGGTGAAGGAGTGTCAGCAAAGCTCCTCCCACACGGCAGCCGGGCTGGGGCCCAGGCGCTGGCCCCTCCCTCGCCTGCAGGGCTGGGGGGCCTTCCCTCTTCTCCGACGGGATGGTGTGCGCAGGCTCCCCGACACACGCTCTCAAGGACGGCCTCCCTGATGCGTCTTTCTCTTAGCAGTTGCTGACCCAAAGCATTTCCCTTGTCTGAGAAGATGCCACAGAGGCCCTGCCCTGAGTTACTGGAAATGGACTCGGCTCAGCCTGGCTGCAGAATGTCCTTCGGATTTTAACACGGAGCCCGGACTTTGCCTCAACAGAATGTTTTCAACCCTGACTTTTACAAGCACAAGGAGCAAGCACCTCATCAATCAACGGGAACGATTAACCACGAATGATGTGTTCCCATTTGAAAAGCTGCCCAAAGATATTAGCTGAACAACATGGCATTTTTTTTTTAAATCTTTTCCTACAACTAAAATCTGACCCACAAAATGAAAACACCACATTCTCTGTCGTCCCTCGCCAAGGCACACAAAATGTTTTTACAGTATTTCTAACACGATACTGTTTCTTGGGAATTCGAAGCGTATTTTGTAAAAATGGGTTCATTGGAAAACTTGGCCATTTAAAATGCCATCGTCCCTCAATAGGTCTGGCAAACTTTGAAATATGCTACCCTCATACCAATGAGGCACAAGGGAGTGTTCCCCTTCGAGAAAGAACCTCGATGCTTCAGGCCTCATTCGTTTGTCGGTCGTGCAAGGAATTAAGCTCTGCCTCTTGCTCTCTCGCATTCTGGCTGCACACTCACTCACCCACGATTCCGGGCCACGGTCAGCGGGCCATGACCAACAGGTTGTCGTCAACGGACCGTCGTCAACGGGCCGTCGTCAATGAACCGTAGTCAGGTTTACCTGCCTGCAGGCTTCGCAGAGCTGATCTCTGCGCAGGTACCGCCCTGACCACGCTTCCTTTGTCCGTCTGTCAGTGGACGTTGAGGGAGCGTCCACAGTGCGCTGTTGTGAATAAGGCCATGATGCACGTTCTGGTGCAGGCGCCCGTGTGAGATCCGGATTTCGACGGTTCTGGGTAAACATCCACAAGTGGGAGTGGGACTCTGGGGTCGCACGGTAGTTCTGCTTCCAGTTTTTTGAGGCCTGTCCATACGGTTTACCCTGTGGCTGTACCGGTCTATATTGCCACTGACGGTGTAGGAGGCATTGCTCCAATTCCTCCCCATTCTCGCCAACACGTGTGTGCCCGTCCCCAGCCGCTTCTTCCCCAGAGCACGCGTGCGCGCTCTCTCTCTCTCTCTCTCAAGCTCCAAAGGACCCTCTTCTGCCCTAACTTGTTTCCCGAGCCCTTGTCTTCTACAGCTCCCTTCTTCCGCCTCTGTGACTTCCTAAATAAACTTTCTCTTATAATTTGACAAAAGAAAGAAATGGATCCCGGTGTTGGACAACCAAGGACAGATGGGCGGGCGGGGAAGGCTCTGGGTCACGGAGTCGGGGCGGGGGCACCCCGCAGGCAGCCAGGAGGGGAGGGGTAATGGGAGATCGGGAGCAAGTTGGGGGGGCTGCTGCCCACGTCACCTGTCCCACTGGGGGAGGAGAAAAGAGGAGGGAACGACGTTGGGCTTTTGTACCACTTGAAAGCCACAGGTGAACCCGCACGAAATACGCATCTTTTGTCTTCCTTTCCGCTTCCTGCTGTCACTCATCCCCTGCCTGCCTTCCTGGGGACACAGTCCAGCTTTTACCCAGAACTGCCCGGTCGCAGGAGACCCCATCCAAGTGCAGAGCCCCTGATACGCGCCCTTCTCTTGCTCACCGCTCCGGCGGCTGTTCCTGGGTCCGCGGTCTTGGAAAGCGACCCCGTCCACAGACAGAGAGCAAGGCTTTCTGGGTCTAATTTTAAACGCGTCCAACTCGTCTGCGGCCAATGCCTGTGCTGCCAGGCACAGCTTCGTCTCTCTGCAGGGCCCGCCAGGACGGGCGCCGAAGCCAGACTGTAAAAGCATCCGGCTCCGTGCGAGGACAAAAATGTTACACGGAACCCTACAATGTTAAAACACAAACACACACGGAAACTGTTTTATGACTGTGTGGGTACCCTGGGCCTATCACCTTTACCTGCTGAAACATTTTTTTTATTAAAGGCAGACTGTAAAAGAAACTAAGACATCTTAGGAGTCCACTGATAGAAGATTTTGCTTAAGGACGATGCGGCACATATATATACGCAATGGACTACCACTCAGCCATGGAAAAGAACAGACTCTTGCCATTTGTCATGCTGGCCACAGAGGTGGAGGGTGTTATGCAAAGTAGAATAAGTCAGACAGAGAAAGACAAACGCTGTCCGATTTCCCTTACATGTGGAAGCTAAAGGAAACCAGTAATTGTACATATCCATGAATTAAATAAACAGAAGAGAAACACACCCCTGGATGTAAAACGCAAGCTGAGCCCCGGCTGGGGGCCTCAGTTGGTTGGAGGGTCCTCCTGTGCACCAGCCCATTGAGGCCTCGATCCCTGGTCAGGGCGCGTACACAGGTTGTGGGTTCGATTCCCGGTCGGGGTGCGTACGAGAGGCAGCTGGTTGATGCATCTCTTGCCCATCAACGTTTCTTTCTCTTGCTCTTTACCCTTCCACTCTGTCTAAAATCAATACGTATCGCCTTGGGTGAAGATTAAAAAGAAACCAAGACACAGCTTGATGGTTGCCAAAGGGCAAGGGGGTGATGGGAATAAGAGAATTATTTTTGAAAGCCATTTTTGGTGACCCTCTAGAAAAGGCCGGGCCAGGGGCCATGATGGACCTTGGGACCTCACTGGGCTCTGGGGTCACGCAGGTCGGCGGCTCCATGGTTTCTTGCCCATCTCTGCATCCCCCCGCCCTTTGCGCCTTAGAGATGGAACGCCTGGCAGCAGACACGCCACCCCCTTGCCGAACGGAGCCGCATCTGAGGAATCAGGGCACCAGAACACACCACGTTCATTGCCAGGGACAGTTTTATTTCGACGTCACGTGAACAGGACAACGAGGTTGGGAGGAGCCTGGGCCGGAGGGTCTCACGTGACACGTAACATTCTCCAGACACAGGCCAAAGGCGGTCCCGGTCCTTGCCGCCTTCCTTCACGGCGCAGCTCACGTCGGCCTTGTCTCCTGAGTCCTTCATGACTGGGCTTCGTGGGCCATGAGCCCGCCCTTCACGCTGAGTTCACGACCGTGTAAAATAGCGCCCGCTATAGGTTGACTGTTGAAATGCTCGGAAGATAAAGGGTTAGGATGTGCTTAAAGCTTCCGAGTCCACTAAGACTTGGCTCTATAACTCAGGAATGACTACCAATGCATGCTGTGAAGGCAAGTGGCTGAAATTAGGTCTTCCGCAGAATAAAACAAACAAAAAACCAACTCAGAGACACAGACAGCAGGAGGGTGATGACCGGAGAGAAGGGGATGGGGGAGGTAGAAGAGGGTAAATGGGGGGGACACGTGGTGAGGGAAGGAGACGTCACTGGGGGGGGTGAACACACAACACAATATACAGGTGACGTGTTATAGAATTGTGCCCCTGAAACCTATGTCCTTTTCTTAGCCACGATCATCACCTCGATGAATTTGATAAAACTTCTTTAGAAAAATAAAAATAGAGAAGGTCTCTCCTGAGCAAAATCATTCAATTTTCCATTTGTACGATATGTATCCTTCATTTTCTCTTAACATTGTGCAGATTAAACAGTTAATTCTATACATAAATATATGTTTATGTTATCTATGTACATGCTTCAAGTTATTAAACCCTCCGACACACAGTCCCACCTCATAAAGTGTCTGGAAGTGCCTTTGTATTGAATACCTTAAGCTTTGAGTGAACATGATTATCTTAAAAAGTAAGCTCATACAGTGGCTTTCCATAACTTATGTATGATAATATCAGCAATAATCCTAAGACATCATTCACATGCCAATGCGCTCTTCGACAAGAATCGTTTCTTAAACAGTATGAGACATTTTTGAGCAATTTCTGGCACGAGAAATCCCCATTAAAAGTAAAAGTCTATCTATCCTGGCTGTCTACCGATTTTAGTGAAATAGTGATTATCAGCTAGTTCCGTATTTTAAATCTCTTCGCTTGCTTGAGGAAAGAAAGAATTGGTGCCTCTATAAATACATCCATTGCGAATAATATTTGGCGTGTTCTCACTAATACTGATAGCGATCGCCTTCCAGTCACTCGATGGGAACGTGGCGGTATCTGTGACTAGTCCAAGAGAGGGTTCTTCACGCACTCTCCCCCGGCATAGGTCAAGGTTCACAGACCGCTCGGTAAACCGTGCTCTGCGGCACTGGGGACCCGGCGGGGTCACGCCGCCTGAGGCATCGCATCGGAGGGTGGAATGAACGGAGCCTCCGGCGGCCGCTCACGCCCATGCGCGGCAGGGCACGTAGGCGACCTTGCGCGCCGCCTTCGCCTCTGCCTACCCTGCAGTGGGACCCCATTTTGCGCCCTCGTGCATTTACACAAGGGCACGTACTTGACCGTGGAAGGCATCCGCCCAGCATTTGTCCCTCTCCGTCCTGGTACCCTTGATTTTTCTGCCCACGGGGTCCCTGTGGGGCTCTTGAGGGGCCCTTGGGTGCCTAAAGAGAGAAGGGATCCCAGTCCAAGGCGCTGGCTGTGCTGCGTTTGCACAGTGGCTCTCCGCCCGTGCCTCTGTCACGGGAGGGGCGGGGCGGGCACTGTGCGTCGCTCACATCCCCTGGCACCCGGGGCTACCGGCTCCCTCCCCTGCCCTGCTTCCCCTGGGGACACTGGCACGACAGGGCGGAGGACGAGGAGCAACACATCTGCAGCCGCGGCTTCCAGAGAAGGTTCTGCGAGGACAACTGGTTGGGGACCTCTTGCACGGTGTGTGTGTGGCGGTCGGCCGCCTGCTGCATGGTGTCGAGGATGTCCCAGAACCGGGGCTCGGTGTCCGGGGTCACCGGGGTCGTCTCCCTGGGGTCTTTGGAGAGATCAAAGAGCAGCGGCGGGTGGTGGCGGGTGACAAAATGCCCGAAACAGAAGCACACGTGCGTGAAGAAGCAGCCGTTGGCGCCCTCGGGGGTGAAATTGGGCGTGAAGAAAAAGGCTTTCCAGATGGACGAGCCTGCAGTGGACAAGGACACAGGTTGGCGCCACAGGGGAACCGCCCTGAGAGTCACCGCCCACCAGACCCCACGCGGACATCTCGCTGCCCGGGGCTGGGAGCAGGCGCACGAGCCGCGCCCTGTCTCCCTCACTCCAGACCCGGCTCGCCCCGCCCCGCCCCGCCCTTCCGTCCCTCTGCCTCTGTCCTCCTTACGGGTCCCAGTCTCGAGCTCATGGCGCCCTGTTGTAGGGAGAGAGGATAAAAGCCCACTGGCTTCAGCACCCAACTCCAGCAGGGCGCTCGTCCGAGTCCCGCAAACCTTCCAGCCTGGCAACGTCGAGCGGACGCACGGTAAGTATGTGGGGACGGGCAGGGGACAAGCTCCCGGGGCGGTGCCCTCCTGTACTCCCGCGCCCACGTTTTCAACGTGCAGCCCACGCGTGGCTGGTTCAGAGGGAACGGGAGGGGCAGGTAGGCTCCCTGCTAACACGTGCGCGGGTGACAGACACGCACGCCCGGCCGTCGAGCACAAAGCCACCCCCGGGGCCTCCGTGAACACGTCGTTTCCTCAGCCTTGAGAAGGCACAAATGTGTCCCAGGCCCCCCCCCGCCCGCCCCCGAGCGTGGGCCCAAGGGCGAGGAGGGCCTGCGGAGGGGACGGGGGTGATCTGATCGGGGGGGCTGGCGCGGAGCTTCTGATGGGAGATTGTCACTCGACAGGCAGGACTCCGTGCATTTACTAAAAATCATCGAGCCGGAACCACCTCGTGTCGGTGTTACAGCTTAATAAAAGGATTAAACACTCCAATTTAGGGGAAGCCGTTGGCCCCAGGGCAGGAGGGTGAGATTGTTTTGAAAATGTAAGTTCTGTGTTCCATGAAATCCCCAAATGGGAAAGTTTTCGAAAACGATTTTTCAAGCCATTAGGCGATGATGGATGTGTTTCCCGGGCTCTCCCCACGACTCCCGCTGTGCGAAGAGCTCCCTGCTACGCAGACATCCCCCGACGGAGGCCTAGAAACCGTGGCTGGCTGGGAAGCGGGCGGCCGAGAGCAACCCAACGCATGTGCGTGGACCCACTGGAACCAGCTACGCAGGACACATGTCCTTTCTCAGGCTGCCCTGGCCGATGTTTCGCATCCATCGCGGCGTGTCAGCCGCCGGCAAGCATCGCGCGGCGATGTACTTTGCCTGGATGATTTGCGTGTGTCATAGCCACAGCGACTGTTATAATTGTAAGCATTTAGCGAGTCACTGATCCAAACACAAAATGCGTTAATGGAATTAACTGCACGCTGTTGCCACGGGGGTGCGCCGTGCCCGGACAGCTGTGACGTCGGACCGGCCTGCGCCAGCGGACGCAGGCTGTGCTGGGGTTTGGAGGGGGAAGCCGGGAAGCAAAGGGCAAGCGGTGCGAGTATTTTGCAGAAGCAGGTGGCGTGAAGGTCCTTGTCCACTCCTCGGCCGCCTGTCCTCCTCGGTGGGAGACAGTTGCTTCAGAAGCTTTCTCTGGGACACGGCGGCCTCAGGGACCGGCGCCTGGCCCAGGCCAGCCGGGCTGCGGCCGGCACAGACCAGAGCGTGCGGGAAGCCCTGCGGCGCTGGCGGAGCACGCCGCGCGGGGGTGCGGGGGGAGCGTTTTGAATGGGCCGTGGGCGTCGAGCCGTGGCGTGCTGAAAACCCAGAGAGCGCGCAGGGATGTCAGGAGGCGCGCCCGGGAGGGGCCCGGCGCTCGCTGCGGCCAGCGTGCGCGGAAGGGAAATTGCACAGCAGCCTGGGATGCCGAGCAGCCACAGAACAGGCACACGTGGCCGATGGACACGGACAGCGGCGGGAGACTGCTGGAGGCGGGCAACGGGGGGAATCAGCGTCGCGGGCCCGGCACAGCCCGTAAAATATTATAAAGAAACAAAACTAAGTTTTCTGAGGAAGTGCTTGGTAACGACAGGCAGGTGTTTGCCCTTTAGAGTCTTCCGGTCTGAGTTTTTAAAACCCTTTGCCAAGAGGCAGGCGGCTGCTTGTCTTTGCTTCGGACCCCTGCGGGAGCGCTCCCACAGGACGACTGGGGCGGCGTCTCACTTCTCATGGGTCCCCAGGGTAAGGATCCCACGTCAGGCCCCGGCCGGGTTACCCTCCCCCGCCGCCCCGGAAACCTGCGGATCCACACAGCAACCAGCCACTTCCATCACTTGCAAAAAGAGACACTTTCCATTTCTCATACACTCCCCGAAGGTAAGAAGGAGCTACTGGTCGGAAGTTCCGACGCGTCCTGAGAGACGAGGCTTCAGGAGCTGAACCCCGGAACAGAACAGAGAAAGGGGCGCTGTAATTTATCCTCTGAAGAGTAAACGGAACGCCCAACCTCAGCGTCTACCTCGAGAAGACACAACAGTTGCATGAACACTTGCTGGCTTTCCGCCGACTCTTAGGTGTCTTGGTGACGTGAACATTATTGCAGTTTTAAGTTTAACCAGATGGAAAAACACACACCTGACACCAATCAGCATCCTTAGGCTAATCCCCTGGTTCCACGGGCCCCTCCGGGCTTGTTAGAGAACAGCCCTCAACCTGGCGCCGGAGAACCCCATCCCTGCCAGAGCGCACGACCTGAAGGACACCACACCCCGCGGGGGGAGCCCGCCGACATCCACGCACGTGAGCTGCGTGGTAAAGGTCTAAGTCTACGAAGTCCACGTGCTCCGTGAGAACAGACCGACGGGTAGGACCCGCCACGTCCGAGGCTCGGGGGACAGAGCAGGGAAGCATCTCCACGCGGGTCAGGACCACGCACAAAACGACGGGACCGACACAGCTCTCAGAGGGCACGCGCGGAGTGTGGCGTTTCCGAGGGGCTCCGGGAGACAGAAAAGCATTGTCCGGGAAGAAGCAAGGAAGGCCCTTCCAGGCGGAGGAAGCTACAAGCCCTCACCAGCCATCGGCCGAGCACAGGACAGCGGGGCTGAGAGCAGAGGGGGGCGGGTGTGTGGACCAGCGGCTGTTTGCGCAGGAAGGGACCGCGTGTCCTGTGGCCCCCCTGCGCTTCCTGTTCTGAGGGAGGAGCCACCAAGCCCTGGTATAAACGCGGGGACTGCTCAGCCCGCTGACGTCCTACCCGCACAATGACTGGGCCCGGAGGAATACGAGAACAGGGGAGGGAGCATTCAAAGCCCCACACGGTCCCCGTCAGAGACCCCTTGGGATTCACCGGGACACGGAGCGCCCGTGGCGCCCAGGGCAGAGGTATGGAAAGGCGGGTTCACTCACTGTTAGGCGGGTGCCAGCGCACAGCGTTGAGGAAGTAGTTGCAGTAATGGAAGAGGAACTCATGCTCCGAGCGTTGGCTTTTCCCTTCAAGCAGGGGCATCAGGTCCCGGCCATCGATGATCCTGCGTGACAAACCGGGAGGGCGTTAGGCGTGGGCGGCCGCATCCTGCCTGGGCTTGGGTGGACACGCCCTGACTCCCGAGTCAGGCTTCCTGGGAAGGAGCGCAGGACGGAGCCGCGTCGCCGTAGCTAAGGAACCAACACGAACGTGCTCACGGGCCTCTGTTGGGGGACAGACTCCATCCCATGAGGCCCGCGGTGCTCAGGTGTAATCCTTCAAAGGACACCGTGCATCAGCGCTGTTAGCAGTGCATGGCAAGATCAAGAAACACAGGCCAGAGAGAAGAGGTAACTTATCCAAGGTCACCAGACGAGCGAGAGCCTGGGGGCAGTAGGGGCGCAGCTGGCTGGGCATCTACTCTCTCAACTGCTTGCAGCTGCTGCTCCTAAACCTGCTTTTCTGCCTCTGGCCTTGGCAATGACAGCGCTTTATTCCCACACCGCAGGTCTCCTGGAAATGAGAACGTCTGGCAAACTGGGTTAAAGAAAGCTAACAGAGAGCGTGGGGAAACTCGGCTTGCGTGGACGTCAGTGAAGTCAGAAGGAGTTAATCGGTGATCGTAAGGGTGACGTGAAGCCCCCGGGGACTGATGCCTCCCGAACACCAACACCGCCGACCCTTGAGGAACGGCAGTGGGAGCTACGCGGGGCCGCTTCCGCACAGACGTTCCTCAATCGACCCTCACGGTTCAATCGACCCAACTTCAAATCCGCTTTGTTCAAGGCTCCGCCCGCCGTTGTAAAACACGCATCATTAGGACTGACTGAAGTTGGACCCACATTTTCCACTGTGCGGGTGGGTGGCGCCCCTCACGTCCACAGGGGTCAGGGGTTGCCTGCGCACGGTGGGCAAACGTAGGTCCACAGTTGTGAGTACGCGAAACGCAGCTGCGTCTTGTGCTCATATTTATTCAGGATCGTATTATTTTCCATTAAAACAACTATAAACCTGCTTTTGACCACGTGGTGTATCTCTTCTACCACGGGATCTCTACCTAAGCCGAGAAAGGGAACTTTGCAGATTGCAAACAACAGCTACAGACAACAGGTGACCAGGAACGTGAGAGATCATTTGGAGTTTAAAGGAATGGATAAAAGCCTACGCTTTGGTTTTGAGGTGCACAGACACAATCACGAGAGAACTGAAATCTTTGATGTGATAAAACCGCCAGCCTCGGAGCCACCCAGGAGTGCCCCGGAATGGCTTGGAGGCTTTACCCTGTGGACGCGCCTCCTCTGAAGAAACATACTCCCTGCCTGTCACCCCGGCCGCAACTGGACGTTTCGCTTGGTTGTCTAATTTGGGGAAGCGTTCTTCAGGAAGGCTCCATCCCTTGAGCTTTGTCTGTGGTTTATTTTGGTGTCGCTAAAAACCCCAAAATGCGTCCTCAGTATTCCTCATGCCTTGCGGGGATGTCTATGGACGGAAGGTATGCCTTGACCGTACGTTAAAAATAAGAACAAGAGAGCCTTGGTCACGTCCCAAGCCTGCACTCCCGTGTGTCTTGCGAGAAAGGGAAAGGCCCAGGGCAGACTGACAGGTCTACTCAGAGGCAGCGTGTCCCCTGAAACACTACTTCTACCCCAGAGTGGCACTGACTCCTTTCCAATCGCTTCCGAGAAAGACGCAGTCCTTAATACCCCGTGATCCGGAACAGCGTGCGGAGAGAGGAAGGGATGACAGAGGAAGCTGCAGGTAGCCCTGAGCCTGAGCCAGTGGGGACACATGACCCGAAGCGTAGAGAGCGGGACAGGGGTTCAGCCACCTCGCCCTGTCCTTCCCCTCAAGGGCACCGCAGGCTTCTCGGTGACCCCTCGAGAGCAAGGACCAACCCCCACTTTTCCACACAATCTCTACCTCTACTTCTTGAAGCTGTTTTGCCTTTGTGGGTCGGTTTGTTTGGTGGTCAGAAGCCATCAAAATGCAACACTTGATTTAAGAACACATTCTCGCCCCCGTGAGAATGGCTGCCGCCGCTCCATCAACCAACTGCAGGTGCCGGTGAGGGCGTGGGCAGAGGGGACCCTCGGGCACTGCGGGCGGCACTGCAGGCTGCGGCAGCCGCGGTGGAGGGCGGTGTGGCGTTTCCCCGCCAAAGCCCACAGGAAACGGCCTGCCGACCCGGCGGGTCTACGGCTGGGCATGTATGTGAGCAAACACGAAACACTACCTGGAAACAATACAGGCGCCCTGCGGTCATTGCGGCGCTGTTGACATTCGCCAAGACAGGGCTGGGCAGTTCCTGCCTAGGGATGGGGTGGAAGTCCAGCACAGGAAAGAGGGTCACTCGTCCTGTGACAACGAAGGGGCCCCGGGGATCCTGGAACTATCGGGGGTCCCTGTGTAAAGACCATGATTCTCTCACCGCTATCCTGCACCCCTGAAACTAACAGACGCCCACAATGACGGAAAACTGCTCTCTCCCAGGAGCCCTGGGTGACAGAACTGCCTCCTGGTCCGGGAAGGCAGGCTTTCCCTTAAAAAAAAAAAAAAAAAATGACTCCACCTCGCACGTCATCCTTTTCTTACCTAAAAGCGAAATATTTAAGATGTTTTTACGTGGAGGGAAGCACAGCCTCTTCTGCAAACGTCTTCTTGTTCGAATGCAGCACTACCTCTTTTTTTGTTTTTTAATTTCTTTTTTTTTTTTTTTAAATCAAGCCTCCGCGGCACCTGGTCTTCCCTGAGAGCAGGCGCTCTGTCACGCTGCTGGGGAAGCCGCCCCTTCGCCGCGCTCAGGAAGGACGGGCGGTCAGAAAGGGGCTCCTTCCTGCCCTGGAAAATCGCAAGTGACGCCATGGAGCGCCACGTGGAAGGGGCGTCTAAGCTCGCCAAGGACTGGGGTGGTTGTGCACCGCACGGGCTCGTCCCTGCGGCCCCTGCCTCCGACCGCCAGGGGCACGTTTCCCTCGACACTGGCCGTAGGCGCTGTTTTCATAGTGTCCCATTTGCAGAAGAGGGACCGAAGCACTTGCGAATGCACACAAACCGCCACGACGTTCTGTGGTCACGATCCGATGGGCCTTCTCTGTACACAAAGGCCATCAGACCCGCTGCTCTTTCACTTCCACACGTCACTGTTTGGGGCGCACGCAGCGGGCGCCCCCGGGGCCATGTGGCTGGGGTGCGGTCTGCACTGTGTCCTCCACAGGAAGGAGGGGTTGGGGGCGCTTGTGTTTCAACATTGCTGTTGAGGTTTCCTTGCTAATACAGTGAACGTTGACAGATAACACGACGCCCACATAAACAAACGATCTTTGGGTGCCTGGATCATTCAAGAGTGTACGTGGGCCGTGGCCAGGTGGCTCAGTTGGTTGGAGCATCATCCCGTATACCAAGAGGTGGCCAATTTAATTCCCGGTCAGGGCACGTGCCTGGGTTGTGGGTTCGGTCCCCAGTCGCGGAGCACACAGGGGGCACCTGATCGATGTTTCTCACATCGATGTTCCTCTGCCTCTCAAGTCAATAAACATATCCCTAAAGAGCATTAAAAGAACAAATGTGGACATGGGCGTTCAGCCTACAAAGTTTCAGAACGGCTGAGCTGCATAGCGCTTCCTTTCGTGTGTGTGTGTGTGTGTGTGTGTGTAGGTATGAGAGAGAGAGAGAGAGAGAGAGAGAATATGCATGCTTGTGCGCTGGGGTGGCGGAGGCTCAATGAAAGTAGACACCTGAAAACCACACATAGAAATACGAGCGCTGGAACAAGCTTGTGACCCCCGGGAGGTGAGCCCACCTCCCCAGGACGCGCCCTGGCTGAGCTGTGGCTATGCGTCTGGTCCCTCCCTCCCTCCCATCAGCCGGGGCTGCCACCGAGCTAATGAGAACAATCCGTCAGCGTGCATCCCTCGCGAGTCCTCAGGTGGGCGATGACGCTCGGGGAGAGACCCCGGACCGCTTGTAGGGAGCTGCATTGAAATGCCAGAGAAAGGCCTTACCTTTAGAACTCGCGCACCGCAGACACTGGGAGGGCGGGCCCTTAGCTGGGGAGCGAGCTGCCTTCCTGGGCGCGGCCGCCAAGGGCTGCTCCAGCCCGGTGCGCGGGCAGAGGTGGCAGGCCAGGGGCACGCTGCCAGGGGCCCTCGGGTGAGGACGGTGGGCCCGCGCGGGAGACCCAGGGTCAGCAGAAGGCTGCAAGGGGCCTGTCCGTTCCAGACCACCCTCCACATGCCAGCCTGGGAGCTCACTTTCCACCGGGGTAACGGAGCTGGCAGCGGGGTCTAGGCGTCCGCGGGCCCCCCAGCGAGTCCCACGACTGGATGCGGACGACCAGTCCCGCAGGGAAACCAGAGCCCGCCTGACGGCGCAGTCTGAACAAGACACCGCCCCGCGCCTCCGAGCCACGGTACCTGTCCTCAGGCAGCGCCGCCCCCGCGAGCTTGGCCACCGTGGGGAATATGTCCATGTTGCTGGTGGGCTCGTCGATCTCCACTCCGGCCTGGATCAGCCCCGGCCACCGCAGGAGGCCCGGCACCCGGATTCCTCCTTCCCAGTTGTTTCCTTTCCCTCCTGAAAGGCAAAGCAGAAGCCACAGGGCGAGCTGAGCCATCTCTGTGCTCACAGGGGGCTCAGGTCAACGAACTCTTCAGCGGTCCCTGTGGGAGAATATCGTGGGGACAGAGAAAACGCTGTGGTAGAAAAGCAGCCTGTGATGCAGGCACTGCTGTGGGTGGGGTCCTCAATGACGGCTCTGCCACCAGGGACATTCGGCAAGAGAGGACGCCCCACAAGGACCTTGGCATCAGCGTTCAAATCCCACGCCGACTTTGTACCAGCGCCCCCCCGCCCCCTTTCCTCACACACCATCCCCGAAACTGGGGTGCAGGACCTAGTCTGGCAAAAGGGGAGAATATGGAGACTCTCTGTGTGAGTCCAAGGTCATCAGTAAGGTCCTTATGAGGGACAGAGCAGAAGGCAGGAGCAGCACCGGCAGAGGCTTGGGGACCGAGGCCCTGGGAGACACTGTGCTGATGGCTTTGAAGGCGGGACCGGTGGCAAGGCGGGGGCGCCAGGTGACAGGAGGCGCTGGGAAAGGCAGCGAGCGCGCTCACCCCGAGAACCTTCAGAAAGCTACGCAGCCCGGCCGGCAGCTCGACTGGACCCCTGTGGGGCCCACCGTGGACACCTCCACTCCAGAACGACAACATGATACGTGTTATTCCAAGTCACCCGATTCGCGGTAGACCTTCCGGCATGGTGTCCTCAACCACGGGCCCGAACGCCGCCGCCCGGAACACGGGGCTCGGAAGCTCCCCCCGCAGGGTGTGTCAGAACAAAGCGGTGCCATTCTAATTATTCTGCCCGGCGTCCTCCGAGACAGGACGTTCCGCAGTTGGATCATCCCCTTATGTGGACACGCCCAATCACTGCCAATGGCACTTCCATGTTCGCGGTGTTTGCTAATTTTATCCTCTCTCTCAAGTCCCTCCTGCCGACTCAGATTGCGTAAATGCACCCTATCCATCCTTTCTTTGCTAAAAATTGAATGCCACAGGGCCTCTCCCCTGCATTCACGTGTCTCCAGTAAGGTACGAGCTGTCACTGAAAATACCTACGTCTTCCTTGTAAACCTTGGTCCTCTCTGCAATCGGACCTTCTCAAGTATCCTTCGCACGTGCACGGCCTCGCTGTTGAAGTTTCCTCAAGAGAATGCGACGCTACTCTTCCCCACGACAAACCCTCTCCTCTCGCACCTGCCTCCTCGCCTCGACACGCTTCACAGACTGTTGTCAAGAACATCACATAACTATCTATTTAAGTCTGTAGACAGGATGGGGCGAAAGGAGGTTTGCAGTTGCTCGTACGGAAAGCAACCCAATCACGAATCAATAATAATACAAGCATAAACTGTTTTCCATCGTCACAACTGTGGACCTACGGCTGCACCGCCCTGTCATTGCCGGTGGGAAGGCCCGAGGTGGCGGCCAGATTCAGGAGCTGGGGGACCCGAAGCCAAGGCAGGGGGAAGAGAAGGAAGCGGCGTCACGTTGTGCTAGGACCTTGTACGGCCACAGTGCAAGGTGATGGCCTCCCATTCCATTCTTAGCGGGTGGGAGTAGAGCGTTTCAAGAAGAAAGAAGAGCCACGTGAAGCTGAAGAAAGAGGTTGGAGTGATGTGCCTACAAGCCAAGGCATGGCGAGAAGGGCAAACGGACAAGGGTGGCGGGTCCCCAACAGCCCCCACGGGCAGCCTGGTCCCCAGACTGACAAGGCGAACGTTTGCGGGCATCGTTAAGCCCCCTGGGTTGTGGAGCCTTGTTAGCAGCCCCAGGAAACGGAATGGAGAAGACGGGGCGCGTGTGTGCTGGAGGCCCCAGGTGCCGGGAGGAGGCGAGATGGCAGGCAGCAGAGGAGGGCTGGGGAGACCACGCAGAAACCGCCGCGGAGACATGTTTAGGAGACGGGGAGCCCGCCGGAGGCCGGCGGGGATGGAGCTGGGAAACGCGGATCGGGGTCAGCCAACACTCAGAGGCAGCGTGCACTGGACATGCTGCTGGAATTTGTAGTCCGGGCGGGTCAAAGACAGACCTTTGAGGGTCAAAGGACCCCGGCTCCGGGGGCTGAGACCCTGAGTGAAGCGTGGGGTGGTCCGGGCGGTGAGCTCCACCAGGGGCACGTGGGGCAGGGGAGCAAGAGCGCGCACACACGCCGGTCACAGCGGGCCTGGCCCAGGGTGCGGCGGCTATTTATTTGCCCCGATGGAACTCCTAACAAGGCAGTGGGAAAATACTGTCAGACTGACCGGCAACTGCAACGTAAAGGACGGCCTCTTAATTCCTTACATGGCAGTCGGGGTTGTGACCTAGCCCACCGGAGTTGTGGGGTGGACGCCATCCTTCCGAACACGTGGGCAGAACGCAAGTCATTCTAGAGGCTGCTCGAAAGTCAGTGTTTGGGGATCTCGCACATGAGAGGCCTCACCAAGCTCGCCGAACCTTCTGTGGGGTTGGGGTCAAGGTCACATCGGACCCCACCTTTACCTCCCAGTTCCCCTCAGTAAGATGGCCTTGGCAAGGATAACGTTCTCCTGTATCTACGTGTACACAGGTTGCGCATCCTGCCAACACGTGTCATTAAAACACGTGAGAAGAGAATTCAGGCGTCAAGATCCCCTCTCCGGTCTCATTAGCGAGTGATGATGTTTTAGAAGCAGACCGCAGTGCCGGTGCAATGTTGCTGTGCAAGAACAAATACCCCGTTGAATCCTACAGAAGGGTGGTTTGACCGCAGCCCTTCTATGAAATGAGCCCAGAGGTTGGATCCCTGAAACGGCCTGGCCCACTTGCCCGGGGGCGCACAGGGGAATCGCCGCATTTGAACAGGGAAGACCTTTGCGAAGGGTCTGGGTTGAGGGCAGAAGCTGTTATCGTTCGGAAGAGGACGCTCCTTTGCAGAGGGGAGAGCGAGCTGGGGATCCCTCCATGTTCGCACACGACACGAGAGTTCGCAGCCTCAGAGAACGAGACGCTGGGACTTCGAGAAGCCTTCGGCCATGCCCTGCAGCTACAAGGACGCTGTGTCTTTCCTCTGGGCATTCTGTTTTAACGACGTTTCACGGCGCCTTTGAGGTCAACGAGACCAGACACAGGGACAGTGCTCTGCGGGACAGCATCGGCGGACACTCTCGGACCGTGTCGCAGGTGGGTGGTACCTCTAGCGCTCAAGCCAAACAGCCTCCCATTTCTAACACTTTCACTATGTTTCTTACAGGACAAGCAACCAAAAAAACTGAGTTGCTGCTCGCATGCTTTGAGGGTGGTGCGGTAACCGCAGCTCCCCACCGCCGTGCGGACTCTTAACGCTGTCCTCCTCACCCGTCCCACTCATGTGTGCAAAAGTCCACCATGAAAACAAAAGGCCAGCCCCACATCCTCCGGCCTGTCATCTGCCTTCCACAGATGCGTCAGCCAGCAGTGCGGGGTCGCGGGGTCGCCTCTGTCCCTGAACTGAGGCTCCGCAGCACAGATATGTCCCTTCCCTAAGGAACGGACTGTTTGCTAGCCACACCCATTGCTGTGACAGACGACCTGGCCTTGCCAGCAGCCACGACAACACAACCTTGGAACCTAGCAGGCCTTGGGCAGAGGGTGAGTGAACAGGCGAACCAGCGCAGGGCACGCAGCCTGGAACTACGTCTCTGCGGACGCTGTCATCTATAAAACAAAATGAACTCCACGCTCTCCACGCAGGCTGTTGCCTCGTGGAAACGGGATGGAGACGCCCGGCGTTACTTGCGCAGGAAGACGCGTGTGGACCTCCACCGCTCTGAGTACGGTGACAGAGCGCAGCTGGGTGGGGCTGCTCCTGTTCACACTGAGTGCCCGGCGTCATCCGTGAACCCACGTGCACTCTGGGTCTTGTGCGCCGCACCGGAAGATGCAGTGTGTGTGCTTGTAAGTTCCCTGGGGACCACAGCAGCAATGGCCTCTTGAACCATCTGTTCCATGGCTGAGACACAAGGAAGTGCTGACCGTTGCCAAATGTGAGGGGGACACCACCAGGGCTGTAAGACTGGGAAAGCGTGACCTGTGAAGGCCCAGGAGGCCAGCGGTAAGGCGCAGGCTCACCTTTGTAGATCCCGTTACTCCCTCCGTGGACCTCTCCTTTGGTGGACACTTCTTCCACGTGGGCTCCTTGGTCCGACGTGAAGTAGACGAGGGTGTTATTCGTCAGTCTCAACTCCTCGAGGACGTTCAAGATCTGCCCTGAAGGGAAGAAAATAATCCATTATAAAACGGTTCTAGCTTTACAAAAGAAAGGGTGCCCCTTGGCCCTTCTGGATGGGTCTGCCTCTGTCTTAGGGCAGGAGGGGGATACTGTTTTATATGCAGCTCTCCCTGCCTCGTCCCAGAAGAGCCCGTGCTGTGACCAGGAGGACTCGTGGGCAGGGCTGATCAGGACCACAAGGAGATTCGGTCGTGGAACCACGTGACATCTGTAAGCATCGCTGGGACCCAGGGGCATCATAGAGGGATTCTGTACAGAGACCCGCTAAAAAGTTCTATGAAAATCAGGCGCGTCGGTCCTGAGTCCCTTGGAGGAAGAGGCAAGAAGAGAGGGGCTCGCCGTCCACGGTCCTCAGGCTACAACGAAGCCAAGTGCTTTGTCCTTATGGACTAGAGAGAAAAAAACAGCCTCCAAACCGCGGATGTCCCTCTTGTGTGAAAAAATCTGCCTACAGATATTTTATGATGAGTTATTTCTTTTAATACTTACAGTAGATACCCCAGTGCAATCGCACCTTGCAGGAGCATCAATACTCCTTGTGTATCCCTTTTTCTTGTCCGCACCTCCTTTCCCAAAACCTACCATTGCGTTCTGCTCCCAAATAACACCACTCCAAAACCATAACAATATCACCATGAAGAACCACTGCTATGATCGTTCCAGCACCGTGTCCACGCACGGGGTTTTGTGACGCGTTTAGACCACACTGAGCCTACGAGTAAATAGGCGGTTGTTTCTTTGGTCATTCACTTGACAGGTGACAGCAGCTGAGCTCTGGGAAGGTAAGTGCCCTGCTCAATTTCACACAGTGAGGAGGTGAGAAAGCCGCAAACCAAGAGTCACGTCTGACTGCAAGACCCAGACTCTCCAGCCCTGCGTAGCCACGTGCGTGGCCTCACTGAGAACCACAGAGCAGCAAAAAAGACATTAAGGGGAAAAATTAGAGCGATGCACTGAAATATCCGTATAAAATGATCTGATCACCACTGTCTCCTTCCATTGAATCCAACACGAGGCGAGTGTGGGGTGTAGGTTAAATAAGGGTGGATCGAGGACACGCGAGAGTTTTTGAACCTCCCTGCCTCCTTCTATGGATGCTCCAATTTTCCACTTGCCAAAAACAGAAGCCGGGTGAAGACTTAAGAAGGGGCTGAGCATAGGCTCTCTGATGAGGAAGCTATCACCGGCTCTCAAGGCAGAAGAAAATGATGGCCAAGCTAACAGCGTACAACTTATAGTTTCCGCAGAGCTCTACGTGCCCGGAGGCTGCTGGTTTAATTTAGTAAGTGAATGCATGCAGTGGAACGCTGGGCTGTTAGACTCTGAGTCCATTTTTTTTGGATGTGTGACTGGTAGGTGCTTCTCAGTGCGCCCTCTCCTCTTCCGCTTGAGCTCCGTAAGGTGACAAGAAACCCCGAGTGCCGCCCTCGGCTGTGTCCGGGGACACGTGGGGGCCCGTATCCACTCTCGCCCGCCACCCACCACCCACCACGGCCGCTGAATCGCTCTCCTTTTCCAGCTCTCTCAAGCTCTTTCCAGACCAGCTTGGAAACCACCCTGCCGTCCCCACAAGGCCTCGCTCCATGAGGAGGCGACCTGTTCCCATCCGCTTCCTGTGCCATCGTTAGTCTGGACCCGGGCCCCGAGTTCTGGGTGGCCTCCAGCTTGCCACTGCCGGACGACCCCAGTAACTGGCCTTCTACGAGAATGCCCGGTGTCCTCTGCAGCAGAAATAATCACTGGCGACAAGTGCCTCCGAGCCACGGCTCCTGGAGATACTCCTCCGCCCCAGGGCCCCCTCCCCCCCGCCAGCCACCTGGCCCAGGAAAGGACCGAAGGAACCCAGCGTCAGTGCCACCACGGACATGGCCCAGGTGAGTCCCGATGCCAAAGCAAGACCACGACCTTTGTGGCAAGGCGTGTTTTTGCTGCTTTATTGCCAATGCCGCCCACTGCCGTGCATTCAGTCTCTCTTAACTTTTTACCTCCTGTGATAAACATTCCTAGAAGGCTTGTCGTTCCCAGAAATGTCCCGCTCAGAACCAAGGAATGAGCCGCACGCGGCCCATTAGAGGGGCCCGCCTCCCGTGACGAGCCACTGCCGCGCACGGCTTCACCGCGGTGTTGGTAGAGCTAAGCAAACCGCCGGCCCATGCGGGCGTGGGGCTACTTGGCTCTCGTGCGAATTTATGCCCCATCACTTTGCAAACAGTAATTAGTTTAATGAGCTGGAAAAGGAAGAACCAATAACACAACTGGATCCTCACTTGTATTCTGGAGAAAAAGTTCCCCTTTTGGCTCATACACAAGTAATTTCTAAGCAAGATAATAGCCTCCGCAAGCAGCGGAGGATTGAGGGTTTTCTTGTCCCTGGGCTACAACAAGTATTTTGCAAAAGGGCACTCAACCATGCCCCTCCATTTCAAATGGAATCCACCTGTCCTATATTTACCACTATCTCAGCGTGAACAAAATCCTGCGAAGAAGTGCCTTTGTAAACAGTGTGACTTCCGTGATAACACCTACAGGCACGAGAACCTGCACACACGTGTTTCGAGCAGGTTTGTGGCCAATCGCCGAAGCCTTGGAAGCCACCGAGACGTCCTTCGGCAGGTGTCGGATACAGAAGGTGCGGTCCGTGAAGACAAGGGAATATTCTTCATCGGCACACAGATATGGGCTGTCCAGCCAGGAGAAGATATTTACGATGCACCAGACTACGTGAAAGAAGGCCATCGGGGAAGGCCTCACACTGTGTCATTTCAACTCTGTCCCGTTCTGGAAAAGTCCAGGCCAGGGAGGCTGTGCAGAGATCCGTGGTTGCACATGTCGGGGGCATGTTATGGGGAGCAATAAAGAGGAGCATGAATAGCCTTTGTCCAAGCCCATCGACTGTGCAATTCGCCCAGTGACCCTTAATGTAAACGATGGGTATTAGCTGCCTCACTAACGTATCAATATTGGCTCATCAATTGTGTCGCCTGTCCCTTACTAATCCAAGATCCTGCCACAAGGGCAACGGTGTGCAAAAGGAAGAGAACCCAGGAAAACGCTCTGTAATTTTCCTGTTTCCCTAAAACCGCTCCAAACACAGGGGGCTGCTGTTGGCAGCGGGCCTGTCCAGGGCGGGGGTGGCCACAGGCCTCTCCTCTGGCTTCCAGCCCGTGTTTGTGCAGCTGGCCGTCATCGCGGGCCGACGGCTGGCCGGCAAGGCGGCAGGGAGAGCGTCTCTCCCCAAGGCCTCCTGAGGCACGGCCCCTCTGTCCAGACCGGCTCCACCTCCTGCGGACACCAACCCCTCCCTGCCGGCTGCTTCCACCCCCAGGCACACCCGCCGCTGCACGGACCACCCCGGCCCCTTCGACGGAAACGCACGCTTCGTCCGTTCCCGGCTTCACGCGCCTGCCTGCGTGTCCCTGCCGACCACCCTCTGTCAGGCGGCCATCATGTGGCGTGTGCCTGGTCCTGTGAAGTCCAGCTGCCCACTTGCCAGAGCGCCAGCTTTGGCATTTCCAATGCACACACCGCGCCCAGCGGGGCTGGGATTCTCACGAGGGCACCTCGCTGAGGCCATCGGACTCACGCCGTTCCGGTTCTGCAGAAACTGTCACGTGCCTGATGTCCTCTCAGCCCCTCTTTCTCCCCCTGAAATACCTGCCCCGGATCCCGCTCTGCTTGGGTCTCAAGCCAGAATCCCGTGTGTAAAGCCCCCGAGGCCATGACCCTCTGAATCCTTCATAACATTGATGGTTCACGGAGGGGCACACGCAGGCGTCCCGGCTCTCCCAGGGAACATGATACGATAAAGGATAACACAAGAAGGAGCTCTGGTTTGGTTACTCCCACCTGGAAACCTGCTTTTTCCCCCACCCTGGGTAGAATTCTAACCCGTTTCTCTCCCAAAAGTTCTGAACAGGACTCTGCCATGGGCACAGAGGGTCCAGCTTTTTATTCTTGCTTCCCGAGCAGCATATCGCCAAGTCAGAGGTCGGCAAATATTATTTCTCAGGAAGGCTCTCAAAGTATAATGATACCAATTTATATAGGATGATCATTTTGAATTACCGATGGTGGGTTGCTGGATAGGTTATAAATGAAATGCTTTATTTCCAAAGCTTTCTCATCTTGTTCCCTGAAGGAAAAAAAAATACCGAAAATAAGCCATTTTGAGAGCAATTTGTTATTTAACGGGAGAAAACAAGAGTGAGCGTATCAAAAAAGGAGACCTTCCAGAGCACACTTTTGTGATTCTAAGAGAAGAAAACGTGGAAATGGGAAAATCCGGCTCCTTCGCCCTCCAGGAGCGGATGTGGGTGGGCGAGGAAGATCAAATCCCCAAGTTCCGCTGTTCCCTGTAGTCATTCAGCCTACGAGGATCAGTTTAGCCACTGAGGAGAGTCTGCCCTAGGACACACTGCCCGGGGCACAGCATGGTTTGCGAGGCACAGGCGGAGCTCAGTCTTGGCAGAGGGGGGGCGCTGTCCCACAAAACTAAGAGCTCAACCTGGCTTCCTGGTCCTGGTCGAACCAGACCTGGGCCCGCGGCTCGCTGCCTGGGGATATCTGCGCCCACGTTGGACCTGATAATCTATCGTAGCGGAGAAAGGCCAGGAGGAAGACAGAAGGATGGAATCCAAACCCCTGAGCCCAGAACTGGACAAGTCAGGGCGATCCATGAGTAACGTACGTGCGTGTCTAATCACTGCGCTGTGCACCGAAAACTCATGAATAGGCTTACTGTATTGTATGCCAACTGCAACGGAAAACCGTTGTTTTTTTTTTTAATGAAAAAATTGTCTTGCCTCACAGAAGCAGCCTTGTGACTTCAGCTGATGCGCGTTTTCTCCTCCCAAGCCCACAAAAAAATGGGAGCTACCTTCCGTGGGGCATTAGGCTCGGGAAACGAACAGAAACTATCCTTTCTGCCGCTCACAAATAATTAAGAAATCCCACCTACTCAGCATAACTCTTGGGAAGG